TGCTTCATACATGTCACCAACCTTCCAGCAACTCCTCGTATCATTGCTCAAGATGGATCCAGCGAGGCGACCCAAGTTCCATCACCTCAGCTGGGATCTGCAGAAAACCGAGAGCTTCAGTTGGTGAGCAAAGACCAGAACAACCGGAAAGTACCTATGTAAAATATCGTCGCAGCAGGTTTGCGGGACCTGAAGGAATAGCAACCTATGGAGGTGTGTAAGATATGATAGCACATTTCCGTTCATCCTGGCTGTCATCTCATCTCCCACAAAGCTGCCGCAGGGCCCCGGGCGTTTTGCCCCGCCCCAGCGTTTTGGACCACAGAGACAAAACGCCATAACCAAAAATACCTCATATGTCGATTCTTCGATGTCTTCGATGTCGATCAGTTTCGGAGTGCTCTAGGTGCGTGCGCACCTTAAGCCTCCTTCCATCTCCAGAGGCAATTGGCAAGTCCGTGTGCCTCCGTACTTAGTAAGTTTTGGCGGTGAATTGTTTGTTTCCGTCCGCAAACTTGTGACTTCAAGCCTCCAGCCATTAGTTTACAGAGATCCGCAATTCTTTGGTGGCAGTTTGGTTCGAAAGTGATCCGTGGACACAAATGGACCCGCCTGTGAAAAGATGCAGACAGAGCAGCTTGGCCTCTCCGGGCGTCCGCACAGAGGGGGCTGCTCTGCTGTTCCATAAGATCCCAGGAATAGTAGAACTTGCAAGACACTCAGACACGCTTTGCACTGTGTATTTTTGATTCCTTTTGTGAGTATTTCTTCAATTGAATCCACACTTGCAGTTCTACACTCAGTGGGATCTTATTCCAAAACAACAGATTTGGCGATCGAATGTCCAGATCTTTGCGGCAAAGACACTCCAGTGCCGACCACCTCAGTGAGCTCGAACGAAAGAGCTTTTGGCGCCGTTGAACGGGCCAAGCCTTGCGGAGTCGAACATCGGGCCTAGTCGGGCTCCAACAGCCTCAGTTCTAGTAGCTTCTTAGCTACTTGTAGCGATGGCCTCCAACCTAATAGCGATGGCTTGCACCACTGCATGCTACTGCTAAGATTCTTGAACATCGTGAACCCCCAAAAGATCCCCAAGGCACGCATCCATCAAGTGGAATCTGCATTTTGAAGCTTTGGACGTTTGGAATTTGGTTTCGCATCGGACATGGCACTTTCTTTCCAGACGACCTTCCGCTTCGAAGATGGCTCTCTCGACGGTCTTTGGCGATTTCATTAGCCTGGCCTAAAGGGACGCATCGTTCGTGGCTCACGGCGCATTCGCTTTTGCATGCGAAACCAGATGGCTGAAGTTTCAGAAGTGGTGATCAGCTTGGCAGTGATCCGCTTCTAATAGGACCCAAAGAGGTGAAAGATCAGGGGCAGAGGTGAACGACAAGCATATTTCCTTAGCTTTTGTAGTTCCACTTGGTTCAAGTTGTTCTGTTTGTTTCTCCCTGATGTTACAATATGGCAGCCACTCTGGGTTAACTTTTCAGTCGCACAAAGTCTAAGCCTGGGCTCCATCAAGTGATCCCAACTGTTGATGACCTTTCCGTGAGGACTGATTCAACTGGCAACTTGGGTTGCCTTGTGAAGCATCGTGCTTCCAGTTCTTGCTTGATAACACGAATCTTGTCTCATCTTATCAACATCTATCTCTGTGAAAGGCTGGCAGCCCGAGCAATGGTAGCGACGTAGCCTACTGGTCTACAAATAATGTGAGACTAGGTGCTTGAAAGAAGCAAAAAGCCCAAGCGGCTGAGCAACCTTCTGACAACCAGAAGACCCGCGAACCGGACCGATCCTAAGAATGGGCAGATGTTCCTGCTGTGCTTGTATTTACTTCTCAGCCATTCTATGGATCATAAGGCCTAGAGGAGCAGATCTTTCGGGCATAATCGCCCCGATCTGAATTTGCACAGTGGCTTCAGACGACAACTGGTGGATAGGAGCACTTCTCCACGGGAGAATCACAAAACTGATGCGGGGTAGCCCTGCAGCTGCAAAGAAAATTGGACGTTCTGTGAAGTTCAGTTCAGTCATTGAGTAATTCCGGATACAATGGGATTCAATTGGTGGCAGCAGGGATTGCTCTCACTTTGGGACAGAAAACACCCGATACCTCATAAAGACTCCAAAAACATTGCAAGTTTAGCACTAGAGATTGCTGGAGTCTCAGAATCCTGCTAAAAAGACGGGTGTTCAAAGTGAGGCGGCTACATTTCTTCTGGTGCTGAGTGAAAAAGGGGCCAAGCAAGCATTGCGAAGCGAGAGATCGATCTTGGCATAGAATTTGCCGAAAAATCGCAAACAAGATGTGATGTATGTATCACGATCTGTTTGTCTCTCTCTTCTTTTCCCGTTGTATTTCCATTGATTATATATAATTATCTGGCCGCAGGGACCCATGCGCTCGCTCAGAAACACCGAGCGCTGCATAGCGGGCATAGCGCTACTCTTTTAGATCCAGGTCGATGCAATTGTGAGGGCATCTTTACAAAGATATATAAATTCTTTCTACCTTAATGCTGGTAGAGGAGCTCCTGCCTGAGATAGGTGACAGCAAAACTCCAACCCGGAGACCTTCTTCTTTGACGCTGAGCTTGTTGCCACTTTGTCGGTCGAGTACGGGAGCGGTCACCCGGAGGAAGACAGCCAGGGGGATCGAACTTCGCTAACTTCACTCGTCCCACGAGAGCATCACATGAGAATGAAGTTCAGAAACGATGCGCTGCGCCCCGAAGATCCTCATAAGAGGAGTGGCCACGGATCACTGAGCCATCTCACGCAGCCAAGACTCAAGATCCTGTTCTGTGCGTCAGTGTGAAAACTGGCACTGCTCGACAAAGGGGAGTGACTGCAAGCTTCCCTCTGTTGCTTTGGGTGGGCACGCTCAGCCGGCTCGTACCTGGGCTCCAGTGCTTTTCGACGCCGTGTGACTGTCCACACTAAGGCAGTTCAGGCTGCTGAGGCGAGGGAATAGCTGCCCTGGCAGTCGTCTGAGTCTAGCATAGCTTACTAGTCGCTAGCACACTTCAAGGTGGATAACCATGGCAAGTGAGATCCAAAGGCAAGCCGAGCATATTCGGCAGTATCAGGAGCGATCCTCCCAGACGGTGCCAGTGAACACAAACGAGTGAACAGGGGCAATCCCTGCAAAGCCCTTCGACAGATGGCGCATTGCCCGAAGGCTCCCATTAATAAGGAGCCTTGCCACGCACGCGCAGTGAAGGCTCAAGACCTTGGCCTGAGGCCTACGAGATGGACTGTGGAGAATGAAGAACCGCAAAAAGAAGTTGCAAGAGGCAGATCCAGCGCGAGGGTCGCTGGAGAATGCCAAGAGGGTTTGGCTCAATTGCCGCGATTCAACCAGAAGAAGGGCGAGTTGGAGAAGTCTGGCTTCGACAGAATGGGGGCCAATAGCGGAGCTCCGAAAGCCGACAACCAACTTCGACAACCACGCCGGAAGGCGACGAGCAAGTGACGATGGTGGCGTAGACCAGGTCTTCACCGCAGAGGATGAAGGGTGCTGGTTTGCCACCGCATTGCAGCTGACTGATCAGTAGCTTCGGATGCAACGTGGACCGCTGCTTGGAGAACTGGTTTGGACATGTTAATGGAGAAGATCAAGCTCAAGAAAGTCAAGATTGATCTCGCTGGCCCACTGCGTGTAAAAGTCAGGTTGCCCTTCCAATGCGCCAGGGCAGGATTTGATGCCTGCTGTTGCCACAGTCCATCGAAAGACACTGCTTCTATTCTATTGGCGAGGCTAGACGTCGAGGCTGTGTAAGTCAAACAGGACTTCTTGTTGACGAGGGTTCAGATGAGGCCGTATTTTGTGGATTAATACTGCGATGGCAAAGGAGTTGGCCAGTTTTTCTCCCCACTGAATGCCAAATACGCCTGTGTCGCGCGGGCGACCCTCCGTGATAACATTCTTAAGTCTTAGGATCTTCAGGAGTGAATGACACACAGGGAAGAGTTCCCAGGCACTGTGTTCGCTGTCCGAGCGGAGTGAGAAGAGCCCGCAAACATCATGATGGCTGACTGAAGAGAGCCCTCTTTCCAACAGGACTGTGCAACAAGTTGAGCGACTGTGCTGAGCTCTTCGCTGTTTTCTTTTTGGCGTGGAGATCTAGAATCTGGCCAGAGAGCTTGCCTGCAGAATCTGACGTTTGCGCGCGCAAATAAAGCTAGCGAAAAAATGTTTCATTGAGCGAGCGTATAACATTGTAAAATCATGGATGTGGGCACCTTTGACATGAAGTTGGATGACAAGAGATTATTTTTTGCTAGTGTGTTTCAGCTTAATTACCTTTGGTCAGGTATTATCAGATCATTTCTTTCAATGGATGCGCCGGCCCTTGAGCTGTTGCGGTGTTGCATCATACAGTTTTCCAAGGCAACTTCGGTTGGGTTCGTGGCGTATTCACATGACCAATAAACGTGGACTCCCCTTATGGCATCAAACTCCAAATGGGAGCCATAGGCCAAGGTGCCCAATCCAGTTCCAGGTCTCTCCCGGTTTGTCGTTGAATCAGGGCCGGGCAAGAAGTTCAAGGGTCTGCTGAACGCTTGAGACGCACGAGTATACGTACATAAGAACATAAACAGCAGATTCGGACTTGGAGGTAAACATTGGTGTGACCCCGATTTACTCAACGTGTGCTGTTCTTGGAAGTCTGAGACACACGGGCTTACATTCCAATGCAAGATGAGCAACGAAGAATCCCGTGTAGTGTGTCCACCTTCCAAAATAAAACGCGGAGCGTGAAACTGGTGCTGCAATCGCACACCCGCGTTCAAACTGCCATGAGTTTGGACGAAGACACAGGGAAGGGCCAATGAAAGACTTCACAGGTGCTCACGGAATTGAAATTGCGTGCGAGAGCGACATAGAACTCTTGACGACCCGGATGACCGACAGTAATGGTTGTCCTGGACGATTTTGGGTTCTTACCCTTTGCTTTGTGGCACGTGTTTTGTGTTTCTTCCCCAAGGCTGCTTGCACATGCGATTTGCTCCCGATCAACGACGAAAATTTCAACATACCCCAAATCCAGCAGCTTGGCAGAAATCTGTGGTTCGCCTTCCCAACGGCGTTTTGAACTATTTTAATCGCATTCGGGCTTTGAGCGCGACCTATCATACGCAAGTAGGTTTTGAAGGTTTTGTTTTCAGACGTGAACACGATCTCGGTTTTTCGGCCAAACAACTAGCTGTAAGAGGTTTAGGTCAAAGCAGGCAGAAACAGTTTTAGGCGTCAAACGGTTGACCGTCAATGCTAGGCAATTCTTATCCCAACATGTTGGACACCCACTTAAGAGAATTAGTTTGGCGACTACGGTGTTTTGTTTGACTCAGTAGTCAATTACAAATTTGATGACCACATGTGCAAATTTTTGAACCTTCCACTAGCGACCATGAGTTCGTTTCTTTTCGCCCCCATTTTGTTTTGATTGCAGTTGAAAAATCGAAAACTGATAAAATTTGTGTGTGCTACTCATGTGATTCAAACAACACTTTCTGGTTTGACAATTTGACACCCATATACAACCAATGCAACAACAAATTCTAAGGACATGTTCTAAATGAAACGCTTGTATTTTTTTTGTCACATTCAGCCAATGTTCCGCTTGAAAACTGTCAGTCTGATTTTCTTTCCCTGGTTTATTTTTTTGCTCCTTCAGATGCTCGACCCTTTAATTGTCCACATATCGGATCCCAGCAACCCGTCAACATAGCCAAACCCCCATCCAGGTACAATGTCTCGCAGCATGTTGTGGCGCTCATTGTGGTGCTGGAGATTTGGCTCTTCAATCGTATCTTGGCGGTTGAAGATGTTCACAATGCGTGGTTTAGCAACATGTTGACAAACACGTAGTGAAAAATCACAACCGACACTGTCCAATCTTGGGTTTGCTGCACTAAAATGAAGCAGAACAGCAGAACAGATTCAAGATGAATTTGTGTGCCAAACAATTATATACATTCACCATGTTCCCTCCACATACTGTATGCAGACCATTGACATTCATTGTATACTGTAACATCATATACACAACATTATCATATGAGATTATGCACCTCAGTCAGTGAAAAACATCGACCATCCCACTCACGTAGCCCAGAGTGCGAATTGCTGGTCAGAAGTGACCAAGAAGCATTGGCTGCTGAGGTGTTTTCAGGGTGCTCTCCTTGACAATGACGAGATGGGAAAACCACAAGTTGAGATCCGATTTCGTGCACGCTTATCACTTGAAGGCCTGAATTCCCTGGTATCCGATTTGGTGCAACAAAGAAATTCGATACCTCGAGGGATGAGGTGCTGCACATCAAGTGAACCAACATTTATTCACAAGAGAAATGAGAACCTCCAACAAGTTTCCGATTTCCTTTCGCTTGCGGAGGCTGTGAGCCTTCAATTGATTAATTCGCTTGGACCTTAGCAGAAAGGCGGCTCAACACGACCCTTTCTTTGAGAGTGTGCTCTGGAAAGAGGCATCATTTGCTTTGTTCAAGATATGATCAAGCATGATCAAGCATACACCGTACCGCCACGTTTGTTGATGCTGAAGGTATGCATCTCTCTTCTACATCGCCTTTTATCCAGACTCATTGAAGATGCACGAGACTCAGGGAAGAGGGAGGCTGTGGGCTCCGGGAATCGGAGAGACCTGGTGGATCTGAGAAGTCGGGTCTTGAACAAGGCCGAGGAGGGGTGCGGCTGACAGGTGAATGTCAATGGAACGTAGTGGAGCTTTGGAAGATCTGCTAAGCTCAGTTTGCTTGCTTGATAGCGGAGGTTTGAAGTCTCGTACACCTGCTCCTATGTCGAAGCCCCAGGGAGTCGGGTATGGACTGCTCATTCGGATTTTTCCCGATTGACAACGACATCCCAGCACCAACCACAACACCCATATGCACTCAGCTTGGGATGCACCTTTGAATCGGCTAGCTCTGACAGATTGTGTGGATTTCTTTCCAGCCGTCCTGGACTGTCCGTTCCAATCTACGGGGATGAACAGGAGCCGACTCTGCGGAAGCCGGCCTTCGAACCGGATGCAGTGGTTAGCGGCTTGGACATCAGAACGCTAAGGCCAATGGCTGGTGGAACCATTGGGGCAACGCGCCGACGCCCCAAACTGCATCTTCCATGGATTTCCATGGCAGTGGTGAAAGCATGTTCAGAAGCCGATTTAGTTCTAAGCTTCTAGATTCCAGGCTGCTTGGGTTGCTTGCGGTGGCTTTCTGGCTGCTCAGGTGCCGGATGGCGCGACTCAACAAGCAGCTGACGACCATCCTTGCAGCCTTTTGTTTGAAGGCCTTGATTGACGGCTGCCGTATCAGTTGCCATATCACCACAGGTCATTGAGTTGCCTGTTTGGATCTTAAACTGAATGGTGAACTCCTTTGTTGACGCAGGCACTTCTGATATTCACAAGGTACACCAGATGTATTGAATAGTCCCACTATCTCTGACTTGTAGTGCAATCTCTTCATTGTAGTTTCAAAAAACCTGATGAAACACATAGCATCAGTCGTCCGTCGAGGGGGGGCCCCAACGGGGGCCTGGGACCGACCTCACTGTCGCACCTCGGCAGGTGGCGTTCCGTTGCGTGGCTCTCCTGTTGTTCTCACCGACGAAGAAAGCCAGTCAGTCGCTGCCCGAAAGGACCCCAAAACGGCGCCGAATCGGCCCTTGAGCAGATCGGTGGTGGAACTCCTCGCCGTTTCGCTATTGGTGAAGTTTCTTTGAAAAGCTAGGAGCCAAATGATCAGTGAGGTATCCTGCGTCCATGCTAGTAGCTACTTAAGCTACTAGCGACTCCCGAGCTTCTACTAGCTACCTCATGCTACCTCTAGCTACTACCTCCCTCTTCTAGCGGCCTCCCCCCGCGGGCTTTTTAAAAAAGAGCAAACGTTCAAAAAGCAGCCATGAATAGCTGAACCTTCACCACCCAAAAGGCACACATGCGCGGATGCGATGTGCACATGGGTGCCTTGCTAGTGTTATGTCGTATCATCCCCATCTCCAAACCTGGGTGAGGTCCCTTCGACCTACTTATGGATTGACACCAGTCACACAAAACATTCTGCTTCTGCTGCTATGTCGTGTTTACGCCAACTGAAGGGAGGCCTCCGCACTAATTTGCGAGCCTGAAACACCTCAACATGGTTAGTTCCTATTCACATTCCTGTGTCTTGCGGCAGGAGCTCTGATATTTTGGACCTGGACCACGTCATGTCGGCGCCAAGGCGAGCTCTGATATTTTGTACACAGGACTCGTGCATGACAAATCCAAGGACCGGCGTGTTGATGCAATGAATCTCTTGAGTGATCGGAAACACATGGAACAAGTTGTTAGATCAACCGTGATCATCCTCCAGAAAGAGCGATCATTCTTAGATCCAGGGATTTTTGAAAAATTCAAACAGGATCCAAGGCTTTGAGAGTGATCCCGCGTTGCCAGGTTTGGAGATCCAGAAACTGATTTGAACGTGGTGCCTTCTTGCTGCTTTAGCTCCATGGCTATTCAAGGCGGCGTCAGGGTCTGCTGGCTTTTCAACGACGTCAACGTCTTGGTTGGTCCATTGATATCCAGTGATTACTATGTCAGCTAAGAGTAAAGGGGGTGAACACAAAGGGGGGCGAGGTTGCAGGCTGGAGAACACCAAAAACAAAGAGGAAAAGCAGAGAAAACACAAGAACACGCATAGAGCTCAGAACACAAGATAGGCAATATTTTGTCTAGCCGGTGTCTAGCCATTTCTACCAAGAAGTCAGTTGACATGGACTGACGAAGGGTACGCTGCTAGGATATGTTTCTTCTCTCATGGCGATGAGCCAAGCTGAATGCGCCACCAGGGTGATCGGACATCATGCCTTTGCGGATGCGTTGCAGACAAGAAGGGCTCCCCACACCTGTGCCTGTCTCGCTCCTTCTCCTTCTCCTTCTCCTTCTCCTTCTCCTCCTTCTCCTTCTCCCTCTCTCTCTCTCTGGGGCTCTGGAGGAGCATTTACCAGCTGCAACCAATGGAGGCATCAGCAAAGGCAGACAAGACGATACCCAGACGAAGGTGACCAGAAGGTTCAGAGGCCTCAAATTCCTGAGGCCTAAAACGAGCGAAGATGGCCAGATCAGAATGAATAGGTGCCAGGACAACGAAGAAAGCCGCGTACTGCATGCTCATGTGTTGCCCACAGCAGATTGGGAATTGAACTCCCCTCGCACCATGTTCAGGGACGCTTGACATATATAAATCTTGGAGCCGGCCACTGGCCACTGGCCACGCTTAACAGGCTGGTCACTTGCGCATCGACAAGGAACTTCGAATCCCACTGCACCACTCCACGTTTCATTGCCAATCATATCCCTCCACTGTCCCCATCACCTCCACAAGGTTTGGGATTAGAGGGGAAAGAAAAGCTTTACTTGACTTATTTTCGTGGGTGCTTTTCCATGCCGAAACGGTAAACTTCATGGGCCGAAACCGGCGACTTGGCGATGAACCGACATTGGTATTAGCGATTCGACCCAGCTGGAAATCCTCCATCACATACCGACTCTGACCGATGTTGCACATCTGAGGTGCAGCATCTGAGGTGATCATCGTTCTTGGCATGTGCCTTTGATGTGTGATATCCGGAGAGATGGGCTTTCACCAATCTCATTTCTGCCAAAAACGTGTTAAAGATATCTATAAACATGTTATTGTTCTCAGACCTGTCAAAGACTAATTGCTCTGGTTGTGTTGGGGATGTATGCGAGTCTCGGTGTATGTTGCCTTGATGGATGTAGCTGATGTAGCTCAGTCGCGATATTGTTGGTGTGTGGGTTGCCCTGCCTGCCACCTCATCGGCCACCCGCAGAGGAGAAGTCTCCGTGGTTCTTCGTTTAATTGTTTGATGTTGGCCCTTTGCATCTCCTTTCCAATGGGTTGCTTGCTAGGACGCGAAGCTCAAAAACTTGTTTTCGTGCCAAATTGACAACCGTACGTAGGGTAACACAGGAACCAAACCCAACGGAACTGAACTAAACCGCTGTCCTTGGTTCCAGCTGTCCATGCCTCGATTTGAAACATCCAGCGCTGCCCATGAGCTTTGGCTCGCTTGGTCCATGGTTCGCCACGTTTTTTAAGGGTTCCTTGCTCTTCTGAATCGCTACTAGGGTGGAGGCCATCGCTGTTTGAGGTGTTCATTTTTGGTCTTTTACTTGGCTCGCCATCGGTCGTTTCCTGAGGTTCTTGCTCTTCTTACCAGCGTCTCCATGGACCGGGCTTTTGACCTTCATCTTTCTGCAGCTTTCAAACCTGGCCTTGGCTCGAAGCCGCCGTGGGATCCCATGGCGTGCAGGGCATCGGCCTTAGGGGTTTCAGGGGGAAGTGGTTGGTTGGTATGTTTTTCTTTTTTTTGGCGTTTTATGTGTGTCCTGTATAGTATTGGGAGGTATATGGTAGTGGTATGGGTTTTGTTTGTATTTCTGTGACCACCCTTTTTTCTGGTGCGGTTTGTTGTTTGGGTACCTTGTTAGCTCCTCCATGCACCTTTTGTTGGCTTAACACTGTTTATGGCTTCTCCTGCGGAGGCATCCTTTTTGTCACAGCGCAGATTTGCTCGAAGCCAGTGTGCGCAGCTCAGAGAGTTGCAATGTCTTTCTGCATGTTGCGACAAATCACTTAGTATTTTTGATGGATGCTGGTATCTCCAACGTTTTTGTCTCGAAGTTCTGTCTAGTTCTGTTGCAGTTTTCTCACCTTTCCCAGGAAATGATCTTGTGACCTGAGGACCGTCTCGCGGGGACAGCAATCCAAGCAATCTCTTGGCTCGCCATGCTCAGCATGGCAGTTGGGAGTCTGAGTAGTGCAGCTCTGGAGTAAAGTCGCAGGTCATCATGCAATTCAATAGCAGTTCAAGGTTTTTTTTTTTTTTTTTTTTTTTTCGCAGTTGCTGTTCTTTGCGATTGTTGGAGGCCCTCGGTCCCTTTCTGCCACATCACAGAGTCAATTCAGAAATGATTCCGAAAAGATAGACCAAATGTGACATGATCCAATGTCAATGGGAACATTCCCTGGTGGACACGATTCACAGTGTCCAGTAATCGTGTTTTGACCAAATCATTTTTCAGCTCCATTTGGAGTTTCTGCCCTTCACAGTGGAAGTCGCAACAAAAGCTGTTGATGTGCTTGTTTCGCATAGGTGTCATGCACTGATCCTCGGCGTTTTAGGCTCTTTTGGTTTGGCCAGCCCAACTTGGCTGGGGCCGACTGAATGCTGTCCTCCTCATCAATGAGGCCGGGCTTGTTTGGGGTCAGGAGGACTCTTTGCGAGCCATAGAACCGTCGAACTAATACATGAGATGTAATGCAGCAGCTTCTTTCTCAACATGCTTCTACAATACAGAAGCTCCAACTTCTGTCCAGTGTACAGTACAGATAGAGTGCCTTCCTTGCCAGTTTTTTGCTTGCTACACTGATCAGACCGGTTACTAAGCACATGAAGTAAGTAGCATGCCTCACAGCTGCTCACAATTTGACTTAGATCATCTTAGATCAGAACCAGGTTTGATAAAAGCTGTGATGAACAAGATATCTGGCAAGCTGTGCTTTTGGCAATTGCCAATCAAAGCAGGGAGCTCCCAAGTATTTTCAATGTAGTGGATGACCACCACAACGCTGTGGTTTTGCTCATGGGTTTCGTGGTTTGGGAGCCACCTTTATTAAGGGTTCTTGGTACGGTTCGGTGATCCGCAATTTGGTCTCTTTTTTCCTCCCTCAGGGCTCCGACTTGGCGCCTTGGGGCGTGTCTTGCGCCTTGCTGCTGGTTTGTCGCTTTTTGCCTGGACGATTTGCCACTTGGCATGGGCAGAAAGGGACTTGCGGGTGATCGGCGCCTTTTTTAAAGCCCGCTCCCCCCTCCCTACTTATATTAATATATATAATAGTAGGCGCCTACTTAATTACTGTAAGTAAGGGAGAGGTAGCTAGTAGTAGCTAGGTAGGTAGTAGAAGAGGTAGCTACTGCCTGCAAGTAGCTACCTCCTGGGACGCAGGATAGCTCACGCTTCTTCAAGCTCCCCTCGCCGCCCCAAATTATTTGAAGCTTCCTTGAAGAAGCGCTCGCACAAATGATTTGGTTCCTAGATTTTAAGGGAAACTTAAGGAATAGGAGCTAGGAGCCACAATATGAAGAAAGCTGAACAGGAAAGTCGAGATGGACTCTCTCCGTTTCAATTGGGTTGACCAACAGCACTGCGAAGTTCTCAGGTTCAATGCACTCCTACTGCAGCCAGGCAAAGAACAGGATGTGGGGTTATGTCTGAGTTCGTGGAGAATCTAGAGGCCCCAACAAGTCTAGATTGTTTGATGCTCCTCAGCAGCGGCTCACCTGCGCCAAATAGTCTAGCAGTACTATTTCCAGTCATTCAAGATCATGCGTGAGGGCATTCTAGAGTCCTAGAGCACTCGACTGGGTCATTGAGTCATGCCTTTTCATTCTCCACCTTCATCGAGCTCTCCCCCATTCCGCCAGCCCCGAATCTGTCACCCCGCGATACCTCCAATACAAGACTGGCGCGCAGAACCCAGCAACACTGGCACAAGATTGAGATGAGGGAGCATATTTTTCATGTACTGTACTCACCAGACAACACCTGCACAAGATAGATCAAAATATAGTTAAAAATAGGAGTGCGGGCTGGGCAACTCTTGCACTCAAGCGAGTTCGCCCATGGGAACTTTCAGGCTGCGCACCGCTGAAACACGGCTGTGTCGGGCAATGCAAAAAGCAAGGTTTGGCACTGTGTCGGGGGAGATTCGCGGGGAGATTGGACAATGGTCGAAGCAGCACCTGAGAATGCCATGTTTGATGGGTTGCAGTAAGGACAGATTTCGCTGGGCAGGTTGGTCCGTCCCTTCACTCACCGATGATTTGATTCAGGGCCTGACCGTTTACTGGTCCAGATTGCCTTGCAAGAAAGCCAAAGACTCTTTGTTGATGCATGTTGAACATTGTTCGATCTGCTCTCTTGGGGGCAGGCAGGATGGTACTGCAGCTCCTTCAATTAGCCCGGAGCTCAAGTATCAAACGCATGCATGCACAGTTGTGCTTGCGGACTGACGGGTCGCAGTATGTCACAATCCCGAATCGGAATCCATTTTGTTTGAATGATTCATGCCTGGTAAGAGGGTTGGAGGCCCCAGAACCCAGAGAGCAAAAGATATCTATATATGCTGAATGTGCAGATGTTCCTCATGGGCAAAAATGCCCGGCCCGAACCAACTGCACATATCTGGCTGAAAAGTGATAGGGTGCCAAAGACAACGCAAAAGTGTGCAAAAGTAATACATAGCTATCATAGCATCATGTGAATATATAGTACTGTATAGTACCTTGATAGACAAACAGTGCAGGGATGTGCTGGGTTTAACGTTCGCAGTGGGACCAAACGCGCGTGCGCGGCTTGTTCGAACACTTCTGATCGAGGAAGTGTTCGCGGGAGGCCGCAACTGGGCACAGACTTTCGAGTGAGGCCGGAGGGGTGAGGGCAAATGTTGCTGACAGAGTATGGAAGAGAGTTCCGATTGTGATTGGAGAATTTGTTCATGAAGCTTTGCAGGGCCGATGAAACTTCAATGGGAATCATCAAACCGCGTGACTGATCCACAAGCATGCTGAGCACATCGATTCAGGACGCCCCAGCAATGGGAAGAGCTGAGTGCAAAGTTCACTTAGGACTTCGGTGTTTGAGTGAAGGGAGCAACAAAGACCCCTCGTGACTTGTACAGACGATGGGGTCGTGAAAATGTGGCAATGCTCCTAGTCACTAGGACCTATTGTATGGAACAGTGGGGATCTCCATCTTCTTGTGCAAGACCTTTACTGAGCGAGATCTGTAGATAGTCGATTCTGGACCAATCGAGTCTTCTTGAAGTCGAGGTGATTGAAGTGATCCGCAGCTTCAGCTTCAAGGGGAGCCATGAGACGGCTGAACCGTGCTTTCTCAAAAGCTTGGAAAGTTTCACACCACTGTGCTGGGACCTGAGAGTGCCCCGGAACGTACAACAAGCTCCCAATGTACAACATGAAGCAACCAACGTGTGCGCCGTGTGCGCAATGTTTATTGCTTTGTGCAAATTGAGCACTGCTTAGACAATGGTGATCATTGCAAGATCTTGCTTGAAGCCATTTTGCGCCAATGGAGATCACTCCCATGTGTTTTGAACCAAGACTAAGATTACTGTGCATAATTATAATGTATATTAATGTATAATGGAATATAATATATATAATATAATATAATATAATACAATATAGTATAATGTATATATGTAATATTTATGGGTATCTGTAGTTGAACCAATAACTTGACAATGATTGGCGAGTATGAAAATCGTTTGCAAGTGTCAGGGTTTTCGTCTTGTGGTTCTTCACCTTCTTTCAGCTTTGAAAGTCAGGAAGCTCCCAACATGCTGCGCAAATTTCCCGTGATCTACTGTATCTAGGAGCTCCAAATGAGAATGCAATTTTGGTGGAAGAGAGCCATTGCAACTTTTATGCAGGGTGTTGAATTTGGGTGAAGGTCATATCAGTGGTTGGGATATTGCCATGACAGGGGAAACCCGGTAAACCTCCAAAAACCAAGTGGACATAAATCGTAAGGCACACCATGTTTCACCAGAAGCTTCTAGAGCTGGATTCTCGACTTCACAACAGCTTGGATGAGGTTTGCAATGGCCGCTCCTACACGGGAGCTTCAAGTCCTGATCTGAGTGTTCTCTACGGCTTTCTTCCATGTAACCAATGAAATTGCTTGCCCAGAATGCCCCAAGACGAGATGTTCTCCAGAGAGTATTCTCCACTCCTTGCCTTCGGAGCCCTGGATGTAGCAATTCCTTAGCATGGTGTCAGGTGCACAGATGCTGCAGAGTCTGCAATTGCGACTCCTTTATGGCCAGGCCATGGGTCCGACGGTCTGACGGTCCGAACTCATGGATCAACTCGGAACCCAACTCAGGGCGCCCAGGACAAGGACGTCCGACTATGTCCGACTCACTTGTACTACCAGTGCATCGCTACTAGTAACAAGTGCCTTACTAGTAGTAACAAGAAGCTATTAGAAACAAGTGCCTTACTACTAGTACGTAACAATAAGAATAGACCATTGTAGACCATTGTGGACCCAATGCACCCTGAAACAATAGCTCTCCACCTTGAAACGACCCCGCCTGCGAGGGTGCCCAGTTGGCTCGCGCCATGGACCGGGCGGTGTGCAGAGCTTAAGCTTTAAGAACTGGAAGGGTGGAGCCCCGTGACATGCGAAATCACTGGACTCAATGGACTGTCAGTCACAAGTCAAGGTGACAGATATGATGATATACTTTTTGATGTGACGAGCATTGGCAGATCCGCTTGAAAATTGGATGAGAGATGATGAGAGGGAGCCACTGTCCTCTTCTTGTGTCAACTGGTAGATGGGTCCACCAGGAGGGACCGCATTGGGGACTTGCGGGGTGAATCTGGACAGGTCCAAGACTTGGTCCAAGCACCAATGGGAGGGTTGAAATGATTCAGATGATTTCGCGACATGTTCGGAAGCCGATCTGGCTTTAATTGAAGCCGATCTGGCTCTGCAACGGCGTCGCAAGGGGCGCTGAGGTGCAGCATCGCCGGGCTGGCGGTGGGTATCAGCCTCTTATCCTTGTACGAAAACAGCAGGGAGAGGCGTGGGTCGAGTTGATTGGATGTTGGGAGACAGTGAGTAGACCTTCCCTCTTTCATTTGGACATCTACCAATAGTTTTGGATGGCTTTGCGGCTGTTTTCAGGGCGACCTTCCGTGAATGGAATGTGCGAGTTCTGCAAGATCACTATGTGGTCATCGTTGTTGGCGAAAACCTTGCACTATAGTCACTAGAGATTTGTTTCCATCCATCGTGATCAATAACGAACATGTTTGCTCAGATCCTTTCCTGTTGAAATTGGTTGAAGCGAACGTGCGTTTTTTGCAGATTGATCCGATGTCGGCTCCTATCCATGAAGCAAGACATGCAGCTCCGGCGACAAGTGCGGGAGCTACAGCAGCTTGGCCAACTCCCTCGGTCCTGACTTGGCGGACCGAGAAACCCGCTTGGGGTCTTTGTATTGTATATCTCACTCTCTTGCAAGCTTGATCCATTAAGATCCAAAATCCTGATCGATCAAGAGAGAGAATCTTTGGGTCCTAAAAGCCCTTACACCAACAAACATGACCTTGTGAACATTCAGTGCCATCCCTTCAGCCACCCCTTGACACATCAGCTCTATGTGATGACAAGGTCCTGCAGCATGTCGCTGGACCTGGCACAGACCGACGCCTTGGTCCAGAGGCCGGACGGTTGCTGAGCGACATGGACCGTTCACAGGGGTGGCCATTGGAGTCGGCTGGACATCGAAAGAGAGCGACCGCAACATGCTAGGGGCTCCTGGCATCGCTACTAGGAGCAAGGACGCTACTAGGGGCTCCTGGCCTTACTACTAGGAATAAGAAGGTAGTAGTATCAAGTATCCAGCAATATTATACATGAATGGGAGGCCATCGCTAGTAGGCTGGAGGCCATCGCTATTAGGTTGTTGAAATTTGTTGATAGAGTGTTCTTTGTTTCAATGCCTTTGATTTGTGTGTTGACGAGGAGTGATCAATAAAAGCCTTTTCCACCCAAAGCAGTGTCGCTTTCTTGGAACCACGACTGCCGACGGCCTTAGGTTATTTTGGAAAGACAGCCAGACTGACATCCACGAGGAGCGCACCCCCTTGCAATGAACGTGTATCCAGCACCCGCTTGCATCAAGCTTGTGATCAGAAAGCGAAAACCATGGCGCTAGTGCTTTTCAAGTCACACTCGACGCTGAGATCTTGTCAGGCCTATAGCTTTCCAAGTGACCAGCCCTTGGGCTCTGGTGCTTATGGCGTGGTTTGGCTGGCCAGACACCGCAGGTGGGCAGCTCGCTGCGTTGTGCAGGTCGTTTTTCGTCTTTAAGAGCATGATTCCAATGGGAACCATGACAGACAATGGCATTGACAATGGGTAATATCATGCAACATCAGTAATTACCGACTTCAGAATATATCTCCAAACTTCTCCAAATAGTTTGGGGAACCTTGAACGTCCTACCTTGCACATGCACTTACAATAAGAAGGCTTCATTGATATTCCATGATATTCCAAATGCTTGGTTGCCAGGACTGGCCTCTACCGGGCCATCAAGCGTGTTGATAAGCGTTGGCTGAGACCTGGCGAGATAGAGGCGGAAGCTCGTTCGACACGCATCCTCGGATTTGTCTCCAATGGCTGAGTCTCTTTGGAGACCCCTTCAGAGAGGCCGTTCCGATGGTTTTCAGAACGGGACTTGGACGTGACGAGCCCGTCGACGGAAAAAGGTTCCTCCGGGAGCAGTGACTCCGTGGAAATCCAGAGGGGAATCATTCGTGCGACCTCCATACATCCAGACTCAAGCTTTGCAAGCCATTGTCGCAGTGATTGTCGCATGCGACAGCACTTTTGTTCTCTTTTGTTTATATATAAGTTATTGCGACAGGGAAAGTGGAGATTTGCTGTTCTTGTGTGCGCGAGGCTTGGAAAAAGATGGATCATCCGCATGTATGTAGGCTGGTTGAGCGTGAATCTCAGAGCAACGTGTCAGCTGATCAATGCGAGCCACTCATTCAATCACCGAAATGAGTGTTCTGGACGTTGCATGGAATCTTGAAACACATGACTCATGACACGTGTTCTCAGGGCGGCCTTGTGAAAACGTTTTGAACCTTCGCTCAAGGTATTTCGAGAGCCCACACTACTTGTGGCTGGCTACAGAGCTCTGCCGTGGGCAGGAGCCGCGCCACGTTTCCCAGCGCCAAAGACCCAACGGATTTGCCACTGGACAACAAACAAGCGGGACCTGTCCTGGCGACATGTGCTGCACATGTTGAATCTATGACATCACAATGCAAGGAGCCTTTTGCACATCATTGTCACTTGGTCATGAGAGGAGCTCTGTGAAAGGATCATCTCAGAGCAAAGAGGATTGCCGGAAGCAGAGGCCAGCAAAGTGGAGCTAGGCTTTAGTAGGCCGTTATTGAGTTTTGAATGGTCCTCATAGGACGGGCAAGGCAACGACTTGAGCTCACTGCTACCCCTCAAGTCATCTTTGGTTCACACAGGGGAGAAAGAAGCTTTTTGATATGGCTGGGTCAACGAGAAGTTTGGACCCATGGGTTTCACATCGAACGAAGACCGCCGATGGCACACCTTTTCGGTGGAAGAGCTTCTCCACACCTCTCCCCTGCGTCAACTCCGCAGGTGGCGCAGCTCATGGAGCAGATGTTCCGAGCCACGTTGCATTGTCATCAGCGCAACACGCTCCACCGGGATCTGAAGCCGGAGAACTTCTTGTTCACAGGTGTGTGTGTGTTTTTCCTGGCTGCATTCACCACTTATGATGTCGCATGTATGAATGTATATAATTGAATGTAGCACGGCAAAAATCACAGGCCCACATTTGACCATACTGTGGACAACCTGTGTTGGACCGGCTTTTGAACATACGAAGAAACTCCTGAAAAAACCGTTCAGACACAACGGCGTTCGAGCCCATCGCTGTTGCGGCGCAAGGGGCAGAGGGCTCTTCGGACGTGAAGCTCATCGATTTTGGCTTTGCGGTTCAGGCAACGGCCCAGTGGATCTCCACTTTTCATCAGTGCAGGATGACTGTAGATGATATGTCATATTAATATATATATATATAATCAATGTTTAGTGACGATGTTTGGAGTGCAAGATTTGAGCTCCAAACTCACCACCGAAGATCCTCCCAGCCCCAAGAGACTTGCTTTACTTGCTGAAACATATCCGAGATTCCCCCGATCATAGGTCCAGGCTCCCATTGGTGCCCCAGTGTTCAAAGTCGGTGATCCACTGGTCACGAGACTGCCATCAATTTCAAGCCCCAACGAAGCTTGTGGACACGACTATACCATACTATACCTACAAGTTACAACAGGTTACAACCTGGAACCCCACGGCCACAGCTTGTTGGAACTGGAGAACATTGGAGAACTTTCTCCAATGTAACTTTGACAGGATGGCACTTGGTCCGCAGAGAACAAGTACGATGGAACATTGTTGTGAGGAATCCTAGCCTTCGCATCGCTGGAGCTGAGAAGTGAAGCAACGAGAGGGCGGGCCTTGCGGCGTTGAGACGTTGACGAGCACAGGGTTGGCAACGTCGAAAACGGACGTACACCACTAATTGTCAACATAATAAATGGAGTAAAATGGGGCTGGCGGTGTTGACCCAGTCAGGCTATTCCTTGTGTTTTTCAACTCAATTGGCAATTCCATCTTAGGGATCTTGAAGGAAAATGACTGAGTGACTGAGTGGCCATGTGCGCCATATCGGTATAGAGATTGCTGGCAGGTACGCTTCACCTGAGCAGTTGAAGGGTGCCCAGACTGCGAAGAGTGACGACGTGTGGTGTGCATCCTAGCATACACACGTGAGCGCGTTTTACGTGAGATGACCTGTCTGCCTGTCTGCATGGGCATGAGTTGCTTTGAATGCTGAAGTTTGGAATCACACCATCTCACCCTCCTTCGCTGAAGCGATCCTTTGTATTTGAGTCGCCAAAATGGCAAGAAGTCGAGAACCATTTTCTTGAACCATGCGTCGTTTACCGGTCGTTTCGGTCCCAGGTCGCTGGGTGTGATCTTTCACATCTTGCTGACTGGTCAGTTCCCCTTCTCCACCAGCGAGGATGCCATTTTCAAGGAGCTACTAGCAAGGTCAGATTGGATCTCACACAGGCTTGTGGTAACCTACATTGCCAGAGCATTTCGAGCCAATTGTTTCCGAGCCTACCAGGGTTCTGCATGCTTTGAATGTTTTAGTGCGATCAATGACTGGTCGATCAGCACTGCGCACAAGGAGATGAGCAACAGTGGTACTCTTCGAACAGATGTGGAGGACGGGTGGATCGCAACTCCTTGGCTGTTTTGAATCAGTTGTTGTCAAGCAACCCATCACATAGTGCAGGGAACCGTGCTTATCCCATATTCACGGGTTGACAACATTCAATATATAATTATATAACAATATATATATATGGTACCCCCCCAAAAAGACCTATGTTCACATCACTTTTGCTGGTATTTGCAATATTTTGTCTATTTTGGGTTGCCTTTTGATCCTTGTTTTTTTTTTGGGGGTACCATATATATATATATATATATTTGTGCACGTAGGTTGCATGACTTGTTTGTCCACTTTGGAAGGAATGCAGTCAGAATGCGTTCAATGCATTCAGAATGCATTCCTGCCCAATACCAAGACCAAGATCCAAGATTTGCACAGAAGTCTTGTGGAAAATCCAGGAAATACCAAGACCAAGATCCAAGATTTGCACAGAAGTCTTGTGGAAAATCTTGGAAATACCAAGACCAAGATCCAAGATTTGCACAGAAGTCTTGTGGA